GCCGTATCCTCTGATAGGACACGAGAGGCCTTTCGCCGTCAAACTATCGAATTTAAGACACACGCTGTCCGCGGAGGAAGGTTTCGATCTGGAGCATTGCAACAAAAGTGGACACGATACGTGCCACTTTATACTCAGGCCGGTACCAAAATCGCCGGTAAAGAAGAACAAGTCCAAGATCACGGGGTTATTGAGGAGATCCCTTTCGTTGAACCCGAGTTTGTTTGGAGTCAATTTATCGAGGCTCGACGAAAATGGATTGCCCAAACCTGTGTTAGTAATGCTCCAGCAATTATTCGCCAAGGGACCATTCACGCAAGGAATCTTCAGAAAATCGGCGAATGTTAGAATCGTTCGAGAACTACGAGACCAGATCGAGTCTACTGGAGATCCAAGTTGCTTGGAAGATGCTCCAATTATAGCCGTGGCAGCTCTCCTTAAAGACTTTCTGAGATCCTTACCGGACCCTTTGCTAACATCCCACCTGTTTCCCCTCTGGATGGATAGCCTGGACACACCAAATCCTGTTCAAACTATTAAAAAGTAAGCGAACAAACGGTTTTACAGTAACGAGAAATTCTTTGTGTTTGTGCGATATTTAACGAACAATGGTGATTTCAGTATTTTAGATAGATTGCCCAAAGCGAATTACACCCTGCTATCGCATCTGATCTGCGTTCTACACCATGTGGCACGGCGGTCGAAGCACAATCTCATGTGTGCCAGTAATCTGGGCGTGTGTTGTGGACCAAGCTTACTCTGGTCGCCAAATCCGTCGGTGAATCAGAGCAGGGCGATCCCTACACTGACGGAGATGTTGATTCGTCATTGTGAAGTCCTGTTTGGAGAGGGCGTCACGCAGCTCTTTGGGGAGGAACGCAGCGACAGTGGAGCCGAAGAAAGCACCGATAGCCTTCACTGTGAGCACTTTGCTTTATCTTTCTTCTTCTTCTCCTCCTCCTTCTTCTTCTTCTTCGTCTTTTTCTTTAATTCTTCTTTCTTTTTTTACTCTGTGAATCAGAAGCGAAGCATGCATCTGTTCGTTTGGTATTCAGTTTATGTAAGTGTTCAGTCCACTGAGGAATTTCTCTCGTTGCAGCAGGTGGGCTTTCTCTGGACAGCCTGGACCTGACGGAACCACCGCGTAAAGACCACATGTCTCTTTCAAGAGATTCTGGTCTGACCCTGTCGGATTGTCAGCTGTTCATCCCAGAGTCTCCGGTGGGATCCGAGGACTCTGCCGCGAATGCCTCGTCATCCAGCTTCGACAAGTCTCTGACCAAAGAGGACAAGTCTACCAGCAAGTCGTATATCCGTGTCTACGGTGGATGGGAAGAGCGAATGAACGGCTACGCGGCAAATAATCATCACACGAGCGCCGTTGAGCATAATTTCAGGGAGGAGAAGAGCGGCATCGGTTACCCTAATCCGAATTTTCAGAGACAAGATTGGCTGAGGGCTCAACTGAAGAGAACGCCAAGAACAAAGTTGGACGAGCACGATCATCGTAAAGACAGGTTCGATGAGAAGGATATCTACGGTAGGGAGTATCTGAGACAAGATTCCATGAAGGAGAATATGGAGAATTGCAAGGACATCTACAGGAGTTCGCAACTGGACATAACGCGGGATCTTCGGACGGAATACGAAAGAGCTACGCAACAGGACATCTGTACGGAACGGGTCTCCATTCATAATTCGGAGCAGGATCTGTCGGGAGACACGACGTTGACCAGTGACAGATACGAATTCAAGAAGGAACGGTTCAACGAGTTCAAAAAGGTCAAGTCGGAAATGTATGTTAATCGCGAGTCACCAGTCTCTCAGAACGGTAGCTACCATTCGGGAAGCGATCTGTACGAGTTCAAAAAGGTGAAGAGCGAGATATACGTGAACAAAGAAACGACGCGTACGGAGAGATACGAATCTGAGAGTAGCATCTATGGAAATAGGGACAGAACGAGCGAGATATACGATTCGAGAGAGAGGAGTGATTTGTACTCGTTCAAGCAAGCCGAGGCGATCGATTTGTACGGTGACGAAGACGACGAGGAAGAGAGAACGTGGCCGGATACACCACCACCACTACCACCGAGATTGAGGCATCTGCCACCGGTACACATGAATCTGGAGGACAGACACAAAGTGGCGGGTAGGTCAAGGTCTTTACCACCGCCTCCTCCTTATCGTCCGCCTCCTCAACCTCGTGCCTCGGTTACCACCAGGCACCTAGGATATGGAAGATCCGTCGTCGATGACGAGAGTTATGTTTAATATGAAACGCTATTCGAATTAGGAGCTATTAGAATCGCTCTCGCGTGTATGTTTGTGTGTACGTGTGTGGTGTACGTATGATGCGTCTGTGTGTATGTTGGCACTTCGGGAGAATCAAAGAACCGAAAAAGTCGCAGGTCGAGATCATGGATACACGTTGGCTCGTGTATCCATGCGATCTCGTTACGGCTGAAACTAGTCCAAACTGGAACGCACGTACGATATCGGAAAGAATAGCGATATGTATAATATTGAATTGTATGCTCACCGAGGAATGAAGAATTATACAGAGTTGCTTAGTGTTTGTTTCGTCAAAATGTAAAACAGACCGGAAAAGTTAAAGTAATTACGTTTAAAGATATATTCGTAAGTCACAAAATGCTATCGGTTATCGACGATTCTTAGCGATAGAACTTGACTGTTATACAGTGATTCAGGGTGCTTCCACGAGCCTTCATAGGTTTCCCCTTTTCTTTTAAATTAGTTATTCATATAGAGACATTTATTATTAAGTATAGATTGTAGCGGACAAGACTTGCGTCGAGATGATATTATTCGTAATTTCTTTTCTTACGCGAAGAATTTTTGTAAAAATGGAAAAGAATAAAATATATATATATATATACATATATATATATATAATGTGTAAAGTACTATGCGGAAAAAAAAACAATCTGTGCGATATTCAAATGCGAACTGCCGTTTAGAGAGGGAGAATCAGGCGTCAATATCTACGGAACGAATCCCGATAATAAAATGCAAATTTTATTGCAACTACGTCAGAAAAGGCAGAGCGAGGTTCGTTTCCATTCGTCGTCCTAACATCATCTTTTTAAATACGTTCACATAGCTAAGCGCACATCTCCGTATTGATATGTTCCGCAATTTCGAGATTGTCCGACGTTCGCAAACTCGCGCAACAAGAAAACAGCATTGACTACCCCCCCCCCCCCCCCCCCCCCCCCGCCCCCGCCCCCCCCCCCCACCCCCCCCCCCCCCCCCCCCCCCCCCCCCCCCCCCCCCCCCCCCCCCCCCCCCCCCCCCCCCCCCCCCCCCCCCCCCCCCCCCCCCCCCCCCCCCCCCCCCCCCCCCCCCCCCCCCCCCCCTTTCCTTCTTGTCTCCCAACAAGAAATTGATTCATTGCGGAATAAACATGACAGTTAAATAATTCTTCCTCTCTCTCTGTTTATTATAATTATACCATTTTGTCTTCTATCTTTTTTTTAAACTTAGAACATATAAATCGTAGTGTTTCGTGTACGCGAATAAAAGAGCGATTATCTTAAACTATAAGATACACGCGAAAGTTGAACGTAGCTGTTCGCGCGATCCAAATCTTTCGCTCTTCTCTGTATATATTAATGTATACTGTAATCTTTTATATTGCTAAACGTATATGATATACCCTATGCAATGCCCGTAAGGTATGTATACTTATCTAAATTATACGACATGCTATGAGAAGTAAATATATTTCGTATTTTATACAGTTGCGTGTGGTTCAACTCTGTTCAATATTCATTTCTCGCATCCTGTTGATACCCTGGCGAGCGGCCGTAAGAATTTCAGTGATCAGTACTGAAAATCATCGCGGACGATCGTGTTTTTTACTTCCGCGCGAGTATCACCTGAATATGCGTTTCTTGTTCTGATCAAATCTTTCAAATAAATGGGGTTATATTCGTATACAGCATTTATCTGTAAAATGCGTTCACCATGTTTATGGATTACGAGGAATTCGCTAGCCTTCAATTAGACAAGCCTGTGCCTGATCTGAGAGTACGTAATATCACGCGTGAACGCGATTTTCTATGAACGATCGACTCATACTCTAAATGTACGTTCCTAGAATGAAGAGCAATTAAAGAAGCACAGTTTAGATCCTAATTTGGAAAAAAAGCCTATAGACAGAGCGCTTCATCTTTTGGCGTAAGTGGAACTTAAATATACATATGATGATAAACCCGACTCGATAACGAGTCACTTTCGCCGAAAATGAAAACCGCGTGTTCCGTATTACCAGGACACACCTCTTTACAGAGAAGCGGCATATCCTTGGGGCATGGTTAATAATAGTAATTTTGCGCATAGCGCTTCGACAAATCACTGTACAAAACCTTGAATTAAACCACGTAATCCCGTATGATTATCGTATCAAGGCTGCCACAGCATCATTAATTAATTTTATAAAATCTAGATAGTGGTCTATAGCAGAAGCACAGGTTGCACTTGCCGTACAGATGATACACATCGATGTTGTTACTTGGTCCAATCTCAGAGTAATATTTATTTCAGTTATAAAACGATAATAAATCCGTTAAATAATACATATTACGTGACAGTAGATAAAAATGTTTATATTTGGATCTCGATGATATGATCGAATTATACAAGTAATTCGTGTCGTACTCGTTGCGTAACGAGCTATAAAAAAATATCGCTGTTTTAAGCAGTGTTCTTTTTTAGAAACGCGAAACCGACGTACCTTAAAGCGAGATGCATCATCGCGTGGGAATCGCAAAATAACTACAGCGGATTGTCGATTACACAACATCGACTTACGATCAACGCATCCCGGTCTATTGTATTACGCGTTACGCGCAACGCAGCATTACGTGTTTTTCATTAGTGGCGTACGTAGGCCGCATTCGGTCGGTTCCGGCAGAACTCGGTCTTGCTCGCTGTCTCGTAGGACAAGTCACATATAATCGATACCTTGGAGTCAGAGCCCAGTTTAGTTGTCATCTACGTTCGGTCGTGTTGTTTTTATTGCGTCAAGTGCGTCATGAGAGTGCGTACGCGTGTATCGTCGTTCACGTAAAGAAATTAGTATATCGGTCCTCGCTGCTTTCTCGTGCGATCGTTGAATAAAATGCGCTTTGAAAATGTTGCAAGAGGAAGCTCTGTACAAGAGCACATCTCCACGGTAAGTGGCCGAAATAGAGAATGGTTTTTTAGCTAGTGAATCTTACTCGCAGTTGTCGCGCCCGTCTTCTCTCATTCTCACGACTGTTTCTCTTTCGTTCGAACCCATGCATGGTTTCTAAAAATAACGCAGCGTCGTTCAAGGAGTATACTGTCCTGTCGTCTAAGCGTTGCTAATTATAGTCCTTTAAAGACACTCGGAAGAAATGACATTCTACGAGTAACTGATAAACAGTTAGCTAAAGACTTCGTTCGAAGTAATAAGATTTCAAGGTGTAGGTTGTTCGAAGATTTGACAGTATTATCGATTGTCTTTTTTTCCTCTTTGCATAACGATGTCGTAATAACGAGTGTTTTGTTGTAACAATGAGGATTTACGATGAAATAAAAACCTTAAGAATCGTGCACGTTGTACCAGTGAAAACATTGTCACATGCTCAAAAAGGATATGTTATGTAAAGATTCCTGTCCTTGGAGGTTGCATGCATTTAAAAAAAATAACGCGAGGATGACGGGATTGTTTTTATAAATTTAACGATTCCAGAAAATATTATACTTCCTAAATATATTATTATCATGGTAATTTATATCGTAGTTAATATATTTGTAATAATAAATGATATTAATGTTTAAAAATGTGTTGTTTTCTACATTATCTATCTTCGTTAATACAGCTGTCGTTTTTGCGTTATTTGCTGTTATATCCATAATTATTGCAGGAAAGGCGATGAAATTCAAAAACTCAATTTTATACAAACATTACCAAGCCTCTTAGCCACAGACTCAGAATCATGTATAACACGCGTGATACCAAAAGTGCAGCAGTCACTGGCTACAGCATCCACGGAATTCCATATTGCAGCTTCAACAACATTCAAAACGATTCTAGAGCAGAAACTTGTGAACCATAATGTCTTCAGTCGAACATTCCTTCAAAGTATCTTAGATTCCCTTGAAAAGCGTGATCCAGGTAAAGAAATTTTGTTCGCTCTTGTACAACTAGAGTTGCTAGTTAAACCTATATCGACAGTTTCATGCATTTGGTATTATTCCATGTAACTAAACATGTATATATGTACATTTAAAGTTATCTGTCATGCATGGCTGGAGACCTTACTGGATGTGATAGAGTTACTGCCGGTAGAAGTCATAAGAAAGCAGGTTTGTATAGATGATCTTAGAAATTGATATTCAGACAACTTTGTCATTTAGAAGGGCAAATGTATTGTAATTTTTGTAGCACATATGCAACCTTACAATATGATTATGGTAGATTGGTAATTAGGTTGATTTATTTTATGTTACTTGGTTACCTGGCATTAGACTAAGCATCAAGTACTCTATCAAAACTCATATGTTGCAAAGAGATGCTATTTATTTAACATAGCCTTAACGATACAAATATTTTTTGAAACTTGAACATACTCAAATATAATAACTAACATCATCCGGATGATAACAGAAATAAAATTATACAGATTCTGCCATTGACTGTAAGCAAAGGGCAATTGTCACAACCTATCCACTCCAGGATAATATGCAGCAAGATATTAGGAAAGATTTGTACAAGATTTGAATCTGCTCTGTGAGTATGTTTCATCTTATCAAAATCTAATATTTTTGTTATCGAGGGTATCAACTTTTAAACGCTATAGTCTTGAGTGACAGATTAAACGTACAGAAATTGAATAGTATGCAACATATGCCAAAAGACAATTTTTTCTCAATAAAGTCATTAAATAAGTATACGTATTGAAATTGTTGTCAGGATACAGAAGGAAGTTCTACCAATGGTACACTCCCTCTGTCAGGATGTAAATAGTGAAGTACGAGCTAGTATCTGCTTGCAGCTACGTTTTGTTGCTGAAGGCCTTGGTGCTGAGTCTGTAAAATCTGCTTTGCTACCATCTTTCGTAGAATTAGCAAGTGATGAAGAAAGCAATGTAAGATGCGCCTCTGTACAAACAATAGCGTATTTGCTACCTCATCTTCAGGAAGGTATGCTTAATGACTAGTTGTGCATCATAAGCATTCCAAGATTTTTGTAGTAAAATATGTTTCGACTAATTTTTGGACGCGAGTTTTTTTAAGAACGCGACGCAACGTAGTTATAATTATTTACAGATACAATAAAAACTACCATAGTGCCACTTGTTAAGAAATTATGTGAAAATACACAATCTGTACAGTCAGACGATAACGTGATATGCGTCATTGCCCAAGAATTTGGAAAAATTGTACTCGGCCTAGAAAGTAAGATCTCTTATGAATTTAAATTTTACTTTCACGATCGCAGTGAATTGATGTACAATTGATATTTCAGCATGCTTATTACCTACGGAAAAAACATGGTTCTTAAAATATTTTCAACAACTTGCACAAATGGGTATCGTCTTAATGAAAAAAGAATCCAAGCCTCATCTTCCATTTGTAAGTGTGTACGAATATGATATAGACTCTGATAAAATCGAATGTGTTTTATAATGAAGTTTCTCCATAAATTTACACCTTTCTAGATGAATATTAATTTTGACGAAGACGAAAAATATGTAGAATGCAGAAGGTGTTGCGCGTTTAATTTGCCAGCAATGTTCATCTTTGTATCAAATTCCGTGGATGATACAGATGCATTACTTCTTACATTCACTGCATTGGCGAGTGATCACTATTATTTGGTTCGGAGAACTGTAGCGTGTGGAATCCATGAAGTGAGACTTTTTTGATTGGAATATGAAATTGGGATGTATGACTTTTTAGTAACAATCATAATTTACCATGCAGGTGGCCAAGGTGTTAGGTCCAAAAAGTGGACGGATAAAAACAGATCTAATAAAATTATTGAAAGATAACTCTGAAGAAGTTTTACAAGGTTTAATTCCTCATATAGGATTAACGCTTGATTGCTTGGCTGAAAGTCAAATTATTGGAGTAGATAAAATGGTTCGTATGCGTTTTCTATAATTAGACATTTTCTAAATATATTTGCTCTATTAATCTATTAATCTGTTTGTCGACTGCAGGATTCCACTGTTATGGAAATCGGTAGAGCTCTATTGAAATGTGAGTCGGAAATAGCAGCTACACATAATTGGAGATTAGTGTCTTCAATGCATTCACAACTTGAGATATTGCCTAAATACTTCCCAAGTGACTTTATATATTCATATTTTGTGCCAATGGCCTTTTTTAGAATATTACACGCTGTAAGTTTTAAAATTACTCGTGTTTCGTTTTTAACCAAAATATATGACATAGTCAAATTTCAATACTATTTTTAACTTGCAGAGGCCAATACCCGTTCGACTCTCCGCAGGAACTCTATATCTTTTCCTTTTACGTTATAACATGAAACCTATGCAAAGGGTAGAACTTCGTAGCAAATTGTATTCAGATTTGGCTAGTAATCCGAATTGTTATGTGAGAATGATGTTCGTTCGTATGATGATAGAGGCTTTGGAAATTTTTTCTTCTGCATATTTCAAGGAACATTTTTTTACTGCTTTATTGAACTTGGCAGAAGATCCCGTAGCTAACATAAGAATGAAAGTAATTTCTCTGTTGCCTCAGTTAAAAAGTATGCTGCGGATGCCGGCCGATAAAAAATTATTCACTTTGTTAGAATCAACTATAACGCATTTAATAAATAGCGAAAAGGATAGAGATGTACTAGCCGAGTTGTCATCCGTTATAAAAAAATTGGATGATATATCGCTTAAATACGAAGGTCGAGCTGTAAGTAATATTCAGTATAATTCACTTTTATCGTTAGCGAATTATGTTTGTACAAAATACTTTGTTTCAGGCATCTGGAGCAGTTTCAAAACAGGGCACTGAAGATATTAGAAAGTTAGAGGAAGAGAAAAGATTATCAGGAATGGCAAATGGGAAATCTCCAGCCGGAGGTGCTACAATAAAGAAAGGTATGCGAGGATAAATTTCCATAATTATAGCAATTCTTATTACTTACGGATTGAATATTTGGAATCCTGTAATTGTAGGGGGGTGGCGTCATGCGACTGCCGATTCCTCGTCAAAAACGATGTAAGTTATACTTTATAATTTGAACGTCTAATGATTTTCCTATGAAATTTTGAACTAATTTACTCTGTTCTTTTTGTCCAGGCCGCAAACATCATCGAAAGGTAAATATTCGCTTTCGTTACCACCGATTAAACATAAAATATTATTCAGAACAATGATTAAAATTAATAATATTTATTACAGATAGCATAGGCTCACCTCGCCAATCAAGCGACGGATCAAAAGCGAGGTACATAAATTACATATCTACTTATTCCTCGCATATACAAATAAAACTAACTTTAATTTTAAGCATGATGCTAACGTCTAATATAACACTAATATTCGAGAATAGAAGAGATAGATTTTTTAGAACCGATGAAAAAGTAGAGTTAAATCTCACTATCTTTCTTAGTTTACTAACGATATCATGCAAAACCTAATATCAAATTCTGCATGCTTTGCATCTAACAGAATTCAACTAACACATCCTTGGGAAAGAATAGGGCATACCAACTCAAACATTAGTACAACCCATACTAACTTTGACAATGGATCGTGCAGTGATTATCTAATGCAAAAGGCTCAGCAGAGTCGATCGAAATTAGCATTGCCATTTATATTGTGGCCGGAAACGTGCGAATGCGACTATGCGGAAGAATACGCTTTCCATTCTTGTCCCTCGTCCGATTACGCGAGGTCTGTCTTCTTGGCGATCATGAGAGAGAATCGGCGAAGATCGCAGCAAAATTTCCTACTAACCCGAGACTATGCCCGCGAGTTTTCCACTAACATTGCCAGCAAGGACACTGCCACTGTAAGAACGCTTGCAGCTCACTATAACTCTTGTTGGCCTTGTAGATCTATGCCGGAGATACCGGTAATGCTGTCGGATGACGAATTCCTGGTAGACGCTGGTATCAGGATACCGGTACAGTTCTCTCAAAGCACCTCTAAGATACCGCATCTGCAAGATTCCATGTTTGGCAAGAGAAGAACTTCGTTCAACGTGAATCATGCTCGGCCTACCAGTATGAATTTCGACAAGGGAAAGCCTAAGAGAAACTCTTCCGTTGAATACGAAGATTGCATGAAACGAAGAACGAATGCCGATCAGACAGACGATGTCAGAACTTCCATCGATTGCGAGGACGGATTGAGACTGGTAAAAGAAAATCAACAGCTGGGTAAGAAGGATCCTGTATACGTTGGCCCTTTGATGAGATCTAGATTTGGATTCGGTGTGAATCAGGAGAGAACGCTGGACGACAAGATGAAACGACGAAATTCGTTAATAATGGATAAAGACAAGCCGAAGATTGTGCAGTCAAAGTGCACGTTGGACAGAACTAAAAGGAACTCGGCCAATTTCGACAAGGGAAAGCCCAAGAGAAATCTCTCCGCCGAGTACGAGGATGGTATAAAACGGAGAACCAACGGAACTAATCAAGCGAAAGATATAAGATTACGATCGATCGATTACGAGGATGGTTTGAGTCTAGTGAAGGAGAATCAACAGCTCGACAAGAAGGATCCATTATATCTTGGGTCTCTGATGAGATCTAGGTTCGGGTTCAGCGTAAGTCAGGATAGGTCGATGGACGATAAAATGAAACGGCGGAACTCACTGATAATGGATAAAGACAAGCCTAAAATCATACAGTCAAAGTGTATGCTGGACAGGACTAAACGACACTCTGCGAATTTTAGTTTAAAGATGCTGGATACGAAAGAGACTAAGCCTATCTTGAAGGCTCAGCATAGCTTAGACGTGGCCGACTATACATCTTCGGAACGTTTAAGCCGGGCTCTGAGACGATATTCGACCTTAGACGTGAATCATAATCAGGGACATAGTAAAATACCCTTAAGAAATTTTGTACGTCGTAGTAGAACCGCACCAGCTACCAGGGCTTCCAGCCCCGTAGGTTCGCAATTAAGGTACGAGGAGATCGACAAGCTGCGCCGAAAGTTCGAGGAGTACCAATTGTGTTAGTGTAATTACACAGAACGCATTTAAGGTATCGAGAAATTAAAATCTCCATGTAAAAGGAGGGGGGGGGGGGAAGAAAATAACTGTATGTGCTGGTTCGCATATTATAATTGCAAACATGTTGTGTGTCGGAAAGATAGAAAGTTTCGTGGGATACTTTTTATTTTGTGCATTTTGATCTTTTAGAAAATCTGAAGTTCACAAAGTCTACGTTTTCCTTTGACGAAATAACGGCGTATTTAGAAACTGTTACGAGGTTGTCTCGACTAGTTTCGTTTCGTCCGTAGTTGACGATCGTTTTGTTTTTTTTTTTCACACGGCCTTGTACATTTCTCACTTTTTATTAACGAGTTTAACGATGAATTTTTCTATTCGTGTGCAATTGGTAAAAGGTAAAGAAGCCAAGGGATAGAACTCTTGCGATATCTCATTTATTACCATTAACGCGTGCTTTACACAAGATAGTTTTTTAGTTAGTTTATCTTGTCCAAAGTATTTCCATGTTAAATTATAGAAGAAAAAGTTTATCTTTCGATATATCGTTTGGAAAGAATTCGTCGCGTGTTTTAGCGTTTGTACAAGTTTGTACAAGACACGCATGCTTGAGTTGGAAGACTGTTTTATTAGACGATGCCGTATCGCAGTTCGTAAGAGTAAAAAATAAGACTATTTTGCACTTTAATTTTATAGCTGCATATCTAATACGTATTGCTCTATCAAAGTTTACTCGCTAATTGAATATATTCTAATAGATTATTGCATTTAGGAAACTATACAAAAGAGTTAACGAAAGATAGAGTTTAATTATCTTAGTAGCCAATTGTAGGTCTAGTCTTGAATAGTTATAAAAAGCAGCTCTCGTTTTCCAACGTCCGCGAAATGGCGTTTTTTAAACGTTCGATACGATTTTTATATTTCGCTTTTTTTCCGTTATCGTTATCTTCCTTTCAACGAATTCATTTAACGAAGGTAGATAAGTTTTTACTAGGATCTTTTACCGTAATTTTTATGACCTTTATTGATATAGCATGAATTTACAGAGAACCAGCTTGGTACAGTATACATAGATGCGCGTATGTATTATTACGTTATTTGTAACAGACAGCGTTATACTAATTTAATCGTTTTCCATTGTTGTATCGCGTTGCGTAGAGACCGTTCTATACTAGTTATCGTAATTTTCGATTTATTTACAAACATCGACACGAACGATTAATTTTTATTCGAAGAAGGAGTGAACTGACGAGAAACGAAAAAAAAACAAAAAAAACAAAATCTTTTTGAGCGCAACTTTAGGGACTCTCGATTCCCCGATTCCCTCTAAACACGTTGAACGATTATAATTATTCTCTTATATAGCGGACTGGAGTTACTGTTGTGTCTTAAAACGAGAAATATCTACGAAAATATCATACAGTCTTACAGAGAAAAATCACGCATATATTAATATATATATATATGTATATAGACTGACCAAGACAATTTAGCGAATGTCTAATTAATAAAGTAGCATCGAGGGAGGGAAGAGAAGTTAATAAATTTATCATGGAACGAAATAACGACAAGAGGTGTACAACTGTACAGCATAGGAAGGGCACGTATAATATCTTCGCAGAATATTTTCATTGAGCTTTTAATAAATGTATTTTGGGATGAAGGACGAAAAGAATTGAAATGAAGGATAATAAGACGCTTCGAAGCCAAAGATGTTATCTAAACGATACGATTAAGTATCAACGTACAAACCCTTAAAGGCATTATGTACTTGTATCATGTACATATACTATGTAAGCTTGACAGTGCAAGTGCCATTGAATAGACGCTGGAGACTTCAACGCCTGAAAAGAGGGTGACCGTACCGTCGAACGATGAATTTACGGTGAAACTTGGAAAAATAACACCCAAAATACATGTATCGTGCAACTAATACGATATTCACGTCCGATATTTAATATCACGGTCTCGATACGTTGCTCGAATAAAGAAAGATTATAGTAGTTACATAGTAGACTTATATAAAAATATTGTTCAAGAATCGAGGCATCGACTAATTCTTCTTATACGTATTAATAACTCGTTCGTTACGCTCGATGCTTGTCCGTTTAGTTTCGACCTCTCGTCATCTTTCGTTCGTTTCTCCGATCGTATTTCCGAGGATAACAACTCGATTTTATATAGAACGTTTTTGAATAATCGCTAGTCAATCCGTTTATCGCGAGATTCGCCTGTATAGCAGTTAATCGTTATTTGATTTTACCGTCGATTTTACGAGCAGGATGATATAGTTTTTTTTTTTTCTTCTACAAGCTACCGAACATCGAGAATAGATCACACTCTTTACGCTTAGGGACTAGAAAGAGACGCAATTTACCGATCGATTGTTGCCGCGTAACGATATTAATTATTTTGTTATAATTGTAAGATCGTACGGCTACCGACTTATATATGTATAATAACATAGCGAAGCTTGTTGTATTATTTTTATAGGAAACTTTAGGGTAGCGTCAGCCGTACGATTTCGCGAGTCTAATGACAAACACGGATCCGACGATACTCGTATCTATCGAGTACAGACATTTCTCGATAGAAATTTCTATCCTTCTACGACGCGTTGAGTTTATAGAAAGAGCGTGTGTGTGTGTGTGTGCGCGTGTTTCGCATAATCGTACGGTTGTTGGTTAACCATGCGACGAAAAAAAAAACTTCTTTTTTATAGGAAATCTTAGAATATACTATATATATATATATACACACACGCTAAGTATACATGATTTAAGAAAAATTGAACAAATTGTTAAATGTGCAACTATAGGATCAGCCGTAGCGCGGGGAGGCGCAGTTTGAAGAAAAGCAAGCGAAAGTAGAAAACGAAGAAGGTTTACTCGGGCATGTTTAGAAGGATAACTAGGAAAACGCAGGGAGAAAGTAAAGTTTCTCGAACGTCGAATTTTCGCCAAGAAATAATCGCTTAAAATGCTGCTCCTTATTTTTGTACAGATCTCTTACCGTGTACGTTAATATTAACTTTTGTGCCAGAAAGTAAAAAAAAAAAAAATACGCAGTATATTATATATAAGAAGTACACACACTCGTGCTACGCTCGTTTTACGTAATTGTTATCTTACGTATTCGTTTCTTTATATACGTAGAGGAAAAGGATAAAAAAAGAAAAGAAAAGGGAGGAAATGAGAAAGAAAGAGACGAGCGCTTTTATCGCTGACACTGTTATATATATTATACATATTGTTACGTATATCGCGTACGTAAACGTCGTAAATCGAGAATACCCTCGAGAGATAGAATCTTTTCGATCCTGGATAAACGTCGGTCGTCGACCGTATTAAAAAACGAACAACGGCGTGGTGATTATCGAACGAAAAAGAAAGAAAGAAGAGAAGCACGTCGTGCGTCAATTGAATTTATCGCGTTAGAAACTGTTAGGGAAAAAAGAGATCGAACGCTATGGCCTGCGTGTTTCTTTCGGGAAGGAGTAATCTGTGATGACAAACAAAAAAAAAAAATAAAGTAACATAAAATAAAGATACATATTTAAACGCGAGAACAAAAAGGAAACAAATAAATAACGCGAAGAGTCGTTCACGTCGCGCATGATGAACGATGAAATTCGTCGAACGATATTTTTATTACTCGTAACTGCTCCCGTAAAGAATAAGGAATGTTACAAACAGAGAGAAGTGTATTTTTGTGAGGTATACCTGTAAGAAACAAAACAAAAATCTAGTTAAATGTGAAGAGACTAAAGAACAACGCGATCGTAGATTATATTGGCTCTGTCGATATTATACATCTGTTTTAATATACGTTACGAACAATAAATCGAACCTTTTTTGTTACACAACCCGTCTCTCTTAACGATCTTATCGCCCGATAATTTGTTCCCTGTAAAAAATCAAAGAATAGGGAGAAGGAGAAGTAAACGGAGAATTTCTTTTTAATCTCTTTATTTCTTCTACTTTCTTAATAAATCAGTGACTCGAGTCGCTACAAACTGTGTATGAGTTCCTTTTATAATTTACTTACGAAATACGTAATAATGAATTTTTTTTTCCTTTTTTTTTTTCTTCGATCACCCTCGCTCATTCACACGCACCCGCTTACCTTGATTATAAAAAACTTCGAAAAAGATAAATCGATCGGAAATTTCCATTCACCGTTCGATAGAATGCGTTCTAAACGTTCGATTATGGCCCGGTACGTAAGCTCCCGTCGCTTTATCGTTTCGTTTGCTCTTTTCCCCTTTAATCCGTCGAATTCATCGTCGCGCCTTTAAACGCGTCGATGTTTACGCTATAATAATGAGGATTTCGAAAATAAACGCGGCATTTATGTATATTAAATATTTTCTCGAGATTCTCGACAACAAACACCTTCCATCCCACAATTGTAAAATACCATCTTTCCATTCTATATATTTTCCTCTTCTAATTCGTAGAACTCTTTCAGGGGGGAGGGGGAGAGTAGAACTTAAACACACTGTCGAAGGACGATTTCTCGCGATTGGCTTTATATAAAATTTTCTCTATTTCTCTGAACGATATCTTCGCTTAAAACGAGGATCGTTCTTTCGAATCCTTTGTAGTACATTCGAACAGTCCGAACTGAATATTTTCTTTCGTTTTATGTCGAGAACGGATTGTCAAAGTAAACGGATTCCGATCTGCTCATTTTTCTTTTCTCTCCTTCTCTCGGTGCTCTTGCAACGTATGCCCTTATCGCCTAGTGGAATTCAACCATTCCCCTTTCCGACTCTTTCACGTAAGTACACATCTATCGCCTTAACGCGTGCCATTTTAAGGTTATAAATAATAGCTGAATAAAGATGGCACGGTATTCATCACATGCGAATCGTTTACGCGGAACCAGCTCGCTTGGAATGACTCGCGTGCAACCAACGTGTTACTTCTTTCGTTATATCTATAGCGTTCTTTCATTTGCACACGATCATCGTCCGTCTGATCAGCAGACTGTCTGCGGTAGAAGTATGTACAGGAGACTTCGTGACTCGATGCTATCGGTCTCGTCGAAATAGCCCTCGCATTCTTGCGCTTAACGTCTTCTCTTTTCTTTACCTGGCACACGGAGACGGTTGGATCGCACGCGTAAAGCTGCTCAAAACGAATAAGAAGCAAAGCAGCGTATTTAAATCGAGTATCGTGTAGATAGATTACAAATCGAAGATGAATATTTTATTGAGAATCTCGTCGAATGATAACTGGTCGAGTAATTTTCTAATCAGTCGAGACAGCGTAAATAATCGTTGTTCGTATCGCGTATTCTATACAATTACAATAGAGAGTTGTATTTTTCTAACGTTAAAAAATCAAGTTCGAACAAAGTGAGAAAAAATTTGCCATTGTAATTTCACGTTAGTCATTTTCGTCAAACATCAAAGATCTGTCTTCGTTTGCAAAATTGAACGTAAGATCGAGATATACAAATTCGAGAATCACAGTAGAGTTATAACAAACTTCTTCTAACCTTCTTGGTACTGTCGAAAGTACGACCATGAATCATTCAACCAGAGATCGTATACTCGAAATATAAGAAGGATGTACTTTAAGAACGTACTTTAAGAAGCAAACAGCCATTAGCAGTTCGTCGAACTGAAATATCCTTTTATCGGTGGCTCGACGATATCGCAGAAGAAGAAACGAGAACGCGTTAAGTAAGAATCGAAGAGCGTAGGAAGACGCAGCGCGTCCCTCTCGATTGCACTTCCCCCATTTTTACCCGTAATTACTACGATCGCGTGCAATCGAGAATACTTTCGAGTCGACTCGGTAGCATCGACGACCACGAGGAACGGATTGCTTATGTATCTGTGTTCGCGTGTACGTACAAATGATTCGCGATTAGTTTCTTCTCTCGAAAACCGTTCGCGAAACCATTGCACACACATTAAAAAAAAAAAAACAGATTTAAATTCACACGGAGAGAACAAATATCGCCAGTCTGTCTGTCTCTCTTCTTACCTTTTTGGTTTTGTCTCTGACGTTCGTACGCTATAATATCTCTGTGTGTACGCGTGTGTCTTTGTTTGTATACATGTGTATATATGTGTACGCGCGGTAAAGCGTTTCAGATTGCTCGTATCGCATAAATAATCCCTGACGACGACAATACGGACCGCTCGCGGTTCTCCCGCCATTAAATCTCTTTCTCTCTTTGTTTCTCGCGAACCAATTATTCCATCGTTGAACGTGCGATTACACGAAGCGGCATTGTCACGCGCGAGCGAAATCAATCGAAACGCGTTAATGGTTACCGAAGACGATCTCAGCGCATTTCGTCACGCTAGATAGATATCTCTCAATCTCCTCTCGAGCCGTTCCATTCTCTTCTTTCTGTATATTATCTCGTATATACATTAAGTAAAAGTCGTGCCTCATCTTCTCGAGCGGCGATTCTCTCGGATCACAAAATAAAGAAACCTTGGTTACGCTAATGCCACACACCGACTATATGTACAGAAATTATAAACAGAGCATATATAATATATATATATATATGTATTATATATATTATATATAATACCCTCGAAAAACGTTACTCGCTATTCGTGATCAATAATATCGTTAGTAAATTCTTAGATATGGTTGTTCGAGGCTCGAAGGCTGGCACGCGTCTTCACGACTTCCAGCAATTCCTCGTCATCTCGTCTCAAGCTCGTTCGAATGCCTGGAGGGATCGTGTTTTTTCTAGAGCGTATCAGAGAGTATCGAACACGTTGTATGGCAACGTGCGAGAAACTCGATTTGATTATTCTTCTGCGTTCATCGTACTTTTCGGATTGAACCTTTGTTGACTAGAAGCTACTTGTTAGCATTTAAGAAGTCTTATTATAAATGCAATCGTTACTATAGCTTTGTAATTACACGATACGATTCGATTTTTGTACGTTGCAATCGAATATTTTTCTAAAAATGGAATGATAAAGAAGAAGAGACGATTCAATTGACGATTTGGTCGCTCGAATAACGAGCCCCTTCCGTACAATGGAGCGCGTGCTCAGCCTTCGACCTGTCCGCGATAGTCCCTTTTACAGTAAAAATATATTATCGCTACGATAGTACTTAACTTTGACTAGCATGTATTCATAGAACCGATTCCCAATTCTTACGTCACCACGTAGAATCGATAACAGCGATCACGTTAAACGGTACACTCTCGTCGAGACGTTTCATTTTTTGATCGCTTCGAAACTCGTTCTTTTCGGTTGGGAATCATCGGATGCAACGTATAATAGAGTCGCGTAATAAATCCGTGGACGCACTCTCGTCACGCATCTCTATTATTCCTTTTAATATTATACAATATTTACTGGAAAATCGTGGGGTACAATGTCAGCTTGTATCTTAAAGATTATACCTTTTCTCGACGTTACGTTCTAACAACTTCCTCCGGGTCTCTACGACCCTCGCGAGAGAAATATAAAGGTCGATCGATTTAATTCTACGTTCGAATAATCTTGACATTTTAATAATATTCGTACGATTCTTGCTCGACAAGCATCCTTCGTGCCGTGTTCTATAAATCATTCGTATGGAGAATACGAGTTTCTCGTAATGTAATTAAGCATATGAAATTCGGACAGCTTGGACAGAGCAGAGCGGCTTGGTACCTGCTAAATTTGCCAAGCACGACAAATGTCTAACCTTATTCTTGCGTTTTCGTATTTTTCTTTTCTTTCGCGTTTACGTCTCGCCATATCTACGATATTATAGAAGACACAGACACAGGTTCGATGCACGGAATGCAGAGTAGAAAATAAAAGGGAGAGAAGAGTCTCCCTGATTAAAAATGGTTAATCGGAAAATGGCGCTCGAAGGGAGCCGCACACGTGAACAAAAAATGATATATAAATCTAGCTTCTTTAGATATTTCCTACGATTTAATCACACAGCAACTATTATTTCATTCTTCTCTCTTTTCTTTTTTTTTCATTCAGTCTTGTGATTAATACTACTTTAATACTTTTACAATTCGTTATAAAGTCAACTGTAAGTATATAATTCTTTATACATAATCGCTCTCTGTGCGAAACAGCCTTTAGAGCTAGTTGCTCGTGGCTCGTTTCGCTTCGGATCCTTACAAAAAAACCGCGGCGTGATAAAAAGGACAAGCGTGGCATTGCTACAGCGATAGTTGCGATTGCTCTGATAGAAAAAAGTAAAAGAAGGTTAGACCAGAACATAACCTCGAAAAATCATCGACGGACGTAGTAGTGTTAGAGAGTTATTACAATTTATCGTATATTACAAATTCTGTTCCGGCTCGATGAAAACAATTCCTTGAGTGTTGGAGAGGGGGCGACGGGGATGGGAATACAAGCTATATTGTCGTTGAATCATGATTCCCGGTTAACTTTACATTGTTCAATGAACCTCTAATACGCATGATAAATCCACGTTACCGTTGATCTTTTTGATTCTGAATACTGATTTGATTATCCACTCCGCGGAGCGTAACATGTACATGAAACAGAGAATAATCCGCTTTAATATATTTCAATTGCGAAAACACTCGATATCGATTCTTTCATTTCTCTCTCTCTCTCTCTTTCTCTCTTTTCTTTCTTTTCATTCTTAATGGCCATATAACTCCTAGCATTTCTATTATTGCGTTCAGTATCACTGCATTGCATAATATCAATATCGACCAGCCCGACCAGCGCGTTCCAAAACTCGATTATCCTCGGTGCAAGATTCTATTAACGATCGCGTAACCTTGCGCGCGTTTCTTTGTTTTATTTCTCTTTTTTATTGCTTTTTATGCGCGATTTCGACATAAGCAAGAAAAATTGCATGCCATGAAAAAATGTTCAATTACAGCTCGCGCATATATAATTAATCTTTTCCTTTTTTGTTAATGACGATCAAAAGAAAGTTCGAAGCCGTGCAGACGTAAAATAGGCCTAACTAGTTCGATTTCCCTTCGATACGTCGTACTAGCTCCCTCGCTTAATCGTCTACGATATACTTTTATTATCAAAAAGATCCTGCACCGTTGAAGTAAAAATAAATATTCTTCGTTTCTTTTTTTTCTTCTTTTTGTCGCTTTTTTTTCGTAAAGAATTCCATAGACATATACGTTCTTCGCGCATACGAAACGACCATAGATATATCTTAAGTACGAATAAAAAATATCTTAAGTACGTTTGCTACTATTACGAATAAAAAATGAGAAGAGAAATATAATATTGCAATTATGATTCTAAGAACTAATTCGTTGCGTAGATCTACGTAAATCTAGTAGGAAAATCATATGAAATCGAATGTACATGAATGTATAAAAATGGGAACGTATTACGACGAGAATGATTACGAATAAAAATGTCTGCCCATGAACCATTAAAATGTTCAATAAAAATAATTCGAGTTTTATATCAGTTCGCGTATCCTTAGGACTTATTTAAATCTTGTTTATAATCTATACATAGTGCCATCTTTGATTGCCCAGAGACTACGATATCCACCATATAAATCTCGTTAAAAAGAAGACCATTTCACGGCTATATAAATGTTATCTTAAGCCTTTAGAAAATAACTAGTAAAGATTTGAAAACCCTGTGAACGCTATGCAACTGACTACTTTCATTGCATTTTCTTTTCTTTCTTCCTCTCCATCTGCTTTATCTTTTGGTTGTATATTTTAGAATGTAAATCGATGGTATCGCGTTAACCAGTATAAACACAGAATGCATTGATTGCAATCCTCTGGTTTAACCGCTTTACAATACCCTATATAGAAGTATACTCATATAAAATAAAACATATCCAAAAAACGATATACTCATATAAAGTATACGATGCACACATTTGTTTTTATCCTAGGGCAGGATTCTTACTATACAAACTATTACAGTTTCTTATTGAGCATATTTTAGAAATTGTTTGAGTCGTTGTAGGAAGTATTTCAATTGTATATTGACTTCATTTCGACTATACGCTAGAACCTAGATTCTCTTACGAAAACTCCCCTCTGTTAGGTTCTTTTTGATTGTGCGGGTTCGCTTTGTAAGAAGACATTATCGTAAAAAGACATAAAGAACGCAGAAAGATAACCGTCCTGAATAAATTCCTTACTATGATTCCTGAACCTTGGACCACTGGAAGATGATATCCTCGTTCTTCCCGGTTTAACGAAATGCACCGTTCGTACCGTGTGCAACTTCGAAAAGCGTTAATGGTCAGCTACTAGATACCCGCGTATAGTGTAAACAGTCACGATGCCCCGATTATAATTTCTACCATGAATACTCTTACTGGTTTTGTTTGGAATTCCTAGGAACTTCAAGTTTTCCGCTCTCTTGCCAAACAGTGTTGCTATGTTCAAGCTTCCTGTAAAAAGAATAAAAAATAAGCATAAATTATTAACAAAGAGTTAGCGTAATCGTAATGCAACAATTCCGTTAATCATTCTACTCACATCGGGAAACAAAAAGTGTTCACGAGTAGGTTGTGGCTGTTCAAAGGGAGAGCTACTCATGTATCCAGGCGAAGGGGACTCGCTTTTCTCAAGCACCGGGGTAATATTCGCGTAATTGGCGGATGGCGTCGTCAACGTTCTTCCTTGCTCAACAAGAATACTTCTGTCAATCTTGTAATACTCTTTCCCGCTGCGAGGACGAAGCGTCGTTGCCACTGCTCTGCCACCCAGTCTGCAAAAAACCGAGTAAAAGACTGAGCATTCATCTTCTCTTCTTAATGACCTCTTCTACCGCTTGGTCGGTGTTTCTTCGCTAGAGGGCGAAGAAGCTCTAAGAAAACGTAACAATTACATTCTCTCCACGAGTACCTTACCTCAGACTGTCTGGCGTATCGGATGACGAGTGGGACGACAACGACAGTGTCTCGATGTAGTCGGACATATCGGATGTACCGCTGCTTGTGCTTCGCGAGTCGATATAAGGAGCATTAGACACTTCCCCTGGACTATTGAATCCTTTCGTGGCCTTAGGTAAACACGTGGGAATATCGGCTTCCGCTGAAGAGGATTTTGTAGGAATCTTAATCTTTTGAAACTGAAACGACAACTCTCGAAGCGGATCGCTGGACTTGGATTTCCTTGGTAGGCTGCTGTGATAACACGTAGGCGGTGGACTCTTCCTATAAACTGACAACACGTTTTGCTTTCTCGCCGACGTCGATGGGGCCAATGACAATTCGAACTCGACAAATTCCGCCGTTCTGTGACTAAGAGATCCCGTAGAAACGCCTGAGTCGTTGCTACTGGAAGAGTCTCTATTGTGACCGGTCTTGGATGGAACGGAGGAGGAGCGTCGAATTTTTATGAATGACGGCTGAGGTGAGGTTATCGATATCTGTCCGCTATCTTGATTTATCTTGACTTCTGAGTTAACGCACGGGGAATGGGTCTCTCCTCTAACCAGGGAAGCTTTGTCCGCTTCGCTGGAACATTTGTGAATGGTCAACGTCGATGGGAACGTATGATTCTCATCGTCCAAATAGTGAGCAGATTCCGCAGAGTAAGATCGTTTTCTCAACAATAGACCAATGTTCCCGTTGGATTCTGTTCCGCTATTTCCCTCCAGGTAACGGCGTCTAAGGTACGGACTAGACAACATCGCCGAACCTGGAACGCGAAATTCAGAATCGGATCTCTTTTTCCCTCCCTCGCTTAACGCGGAACCTGATAACGCAGGGTTACTCGAGCTCTTTATACCGCTACAAATTCTCGACAAAATCTCCTTTGAACAAGCATTGTGCGCTGGCTGCATCGGTAGGTATCCAGAGAACGGTTTCTTTGGTGTTTGCTTTTCGAGATCCATGACTAAGTAATCGTTCTCTCGGTCCTTAACGTGGCCACATTTCTGGCATATCTTGGACGAATCTTCTGTGGGCGGTTCAGATGTCTCGTCCTTAATTTGATTGGAAAACTTCTCAATTTCCTCCTGTGAAATTCCACTCTTTGCTAAAAGATCTTTGCTGTTTTCATAGTGTTCGAGAGATTGGGTAAAGTCTATGTTCGCGTAATTCGTTTGTTTGGACTCAGGTTGCGTGTCGATAACAGGCTCGACGTTCTCGTAATTGTTTGTTCTATTCTCTGGGCATTCGCAATTGTCTTTGTTCTTGTCTTCGTCGTTCTCCGACTTCTCCGACTTTTTCGGCCGTTTCGCCGTCGCGTAAATCGCGATCTCCCCGCTCGCGTTCACAACAGGCATCTTACCTTCTCCAGAAAGTTTCACGGGATGTACGGCAACACCGGTTGGTTCAATTCCTGCGCCGCGTCTGCAGTACGGCAATACAAAACCAGCCCAACTCATCATGTTTTGGCAGGGACATCCCGAAGATCTGGGAGATTGAACGGTGAGTTTAGCCGGACAACCACATTGTTGTAATACCACAGCTTGAGGCGCCTGTGGCGTATCGTAATTAGGATAGGTTTTTGGCAGTGCTAGACATTCTTTAATTTTCCTTGGCGTGTCGTAATACTGATCCGGTTGGGAACTTTGTTCTAACAGCATATGATGGCCCAAGATCGTTTTGGGTACGTCGTAATTCTCGTAAGGACCAGCAGCCGCGGTTGCATTTCGTACAACCAGCTGCTGCTTGCTACGCGAGTGCACGCAAACTTGTTCGTTTGGCAAGGGCATAGGAGGTTTCTTAACCTTCTTCGTGGCAGTGTTTTGGGACGGTTTCGGAGGTCTCGGTGGCAGTGCGCTAGGGCTTGGCGACACGCGATGAACGCTCGTTTGTTGTTGCGAGCTCTTTGAATTTTGCGAACAGTGACATTCCATCTGCTGTGAACTGGAATAGTCACTGTCGTGGCTGCTACTACTGTACGAGGATAACGATAACCGATCGAGCGTACGTGGCTGTAGATGGCAACCAAAATTATTCATCGTTCCTGCTGGACTGCCTATACTGCTTGCTCCAGTCGTGGTGGCTAAAGTCGACGATTTGGATACAGTTCCTAGCTTGCTGATACAGCTAGCGCATCTCTCGAGAGCGGATGTTCCTTGACGAGTAAGAGAACAGCTGCGCCATTCCCCTGGCTGATCGGTCAATTCCGACACGGAGACAGTGTCTCTGCTACTGTAATCCCTGTCGAGCTCTGTTTGTTGCCTACTCTCAGTGGACGACCAATAGGGGGAGCTCTCGTTCTTGCAGCTGTCGCACTGCTCTTCATATGTGGACGAGTAAATAGCCGAGGGGAAAAAATCGCTGGCCCTCGTTTCCGATCGAGAGAACTGACGACGCGGGCTCTCCTGCGTTATCTGTTCTCTGCTAACCGGTCGTTTTTTGGTCAGCTTCCCCTCTGCCGCTAATTGCAGCATCTTCACGATATCTTCTCCTTGATCCGTTATCAGCACGTGGAGACCTTCTCCTCGGCCGCATCTCGAACCACCCTCGAAGCAGAATCGTCCTTCGACCACGCCATATCGTCGGAGATGCGCGATTTCCCAAATACCGACTAATCTGGGAGGTATGCCGACGGTGATGCAAAAACGGCGATCTTGAATGTGTAAATGTGCTGGTCCATTTGTGAGCTTCGCTTTCGATGGAACCGTGGAGATCAGTATCAGGAACTGCTGATCTGTGGGAGTAAAATAAATATTGTGTTAGATCGTGAATGTTTAATTGCTAATTTTTTTTAAGTAATTTTTTCTTTTTTTTTTTATTTTTTAAGATGCATACCTTCGCCCAAATTGTTCGAGATTTTCACTTGCCATTGTATCAATCGTTCTCTAGTGTCGAAAGCCAGAACAACCGTCACGTCTTGGCATATTATAGCTATAGTATTGGATTCCTTGTCAAGAGTGAAACCACTCTCCACGCCGAGAAAATGTTGCAAACTTAATGAAGCTTTCGTTTGACCTTGCTTATATCGATCCTTGCTATCTCCGTAAAGTTGTAAATGAAGACAATCTACAAAGGAGTATAAGGTTTTCTAAAGAACGTGCATTGTTTGAAATATGCAAACGGTCGAAGACTTTTTAATGAAAAATTTCTTTAACGAGTACTTTTTATCGAAGATCGTTCGAACGAAATGTGTCAACGAAACTTCACACGCTAACTGACGAGCACAACATGCTATTAATATAGTTATACAGACGTAGAAACGCACTAAATCCATTCTGAGACCCTTCTATGTACTTTTAACTAATTCTGCCCAAAGAAAATTTATGAGGTACTGCTGTCCCTAAGTTTTAAAATATCCTCGAGTTACTAGGGTCAGGTATTAATGGTTATTGCCAGAAGCAAAGCTCTTCTTGGAAATTTTTTTGTTTCTCCAGCTAGTCAATCTATAACAGATGTGCCAGCTGCCACCCTTGGACAGAATCAGAGGGAGAGATTCTTTATGCTGATAACAAGTAAGGAAATTCTTTCAGGAGATATGATTAGGAATGTGGTAGGAAATAGAATTGGCATTGCTTTTTAGGGCCAGTTTGCAACATCTGGCATTCCCTTGTTCCTTGTAGCTCAAATATTATCATTTTTTATCAACATTGATAAGATTAAAGGGACTCATTCTTATGGTGCACAAGAATGATTCATTGTGAGGAATGCACAGATGTTATATAAAAAGGGAAGTGTTTTCATCTTTGACACCAAGAACAGAGATATGTGCTATAAAATATCCAACACTTCCTGTCTACTATCTACAGTTGATTTCTCATGTTTTATGTTAGTGATAATATCTTATATTTCTGTAGACGACATAAAAGGCAAAGTGATTTCTTATCAAGTATACTCCTTAATTGTAAAAAATGAAAATGTAGTCCATTAAAAGGATATAAAAAACACATTTTTACCTGCAACCGGTGACAACTTCCTCATGACACACCATCTTGATTTCCACTGTAATGCAACAAACAATTTTGAATAACTCAATACAGACATAATTGCTTTATTAAATTGATATCATTTGATACAGTGTCGACAAACATGACTAGTAATCATATGCATGAATATCATATATTAGTATGCTACATGTTTGCATAGACTTATTATGCAGGGAAACATATACATATGTAATACACATTTGCCTGAATCTATTCAGACCCTCCGTACCCCTGTGATAAAAATAAAAGAGTTTCCTACCCTTTCTCATCTGAATGATTTCTTTGATGCCCCAATGTAAATAAAAGAAAATGAGCTAGCTTTTTATGGCTTTGTGGCTCTTCATTTCTTTCACATTAAATACTTCCTTAAGCCTTCAACAAACTACTTAAAAGTTGTAATGTCCATTGAAATCACATCAGGATACCTCAATTTGACTTCTTGCCCATGACAAATAAACTTCACCATTGTACTTAAATTTCAATGGGCATAAAGAAATAAATATTTGATACTAACACAGGCTCATTGAAACATTCAAGTTTTCAATTACTACATGAAGCATGGCTGCTAATTAGTATTTAACTATGTAGAAAAAGTTTTAATTGAATGTATAAAATTATAAACTTTTTTACAACATAATTTTCAACATAATTTTCAACATATTACTACAATTTATGGCGTGTGTTCACAGGAGAGGCAAAATTTAACCACATTTTAGTTGAATTCTGACTTTCATATTTTTCATTGATTCAATGAATGCTTATACATATACACCTTACATGCAATGTATATACGTATATATAACTGTTTGCCGAGCGCGTTAGCGCAAGATCCTTACATCATTATATAATTTTTTTATTGAAACCGTACCGTACTCAAGTGACTTTGGAATAATTAAACATGAACGTGAGTTTGCTTTGAATTATGATCCATCAGAGCGGAGCATCGTTAAATTTCTTCGCGAGGATATGAACGACCATCGTGTAATATTACATTACACAGATTTGTGAGATAAATTAAACCATGTTATTTTAACGAATATTGAATTAAGCGATTATTCTGCTGATATTAATTGGATACCTCGATGGTAAATGAAGGAAAGATAAGTGTTTGAGAAAAAATTCGAACGAAAGTACTTACCTTTTTGCCGTCGCGAAATTTGACGTTTCCCTCGATAATACAATTGTTATCCACCATTGTAGAAGGCCGCTACTACCGCACTGCTTTTAGGTGCTTTTCTCATCACTATATGAAAGCATTCCGTTTACTTAACGCTGCATACTGAGACACTATGGAACACCTTGGAACACCATGAACAACAATGCTTCCCGGTGCACGTTTTCCTTTTTTGCTCACTAAACAACAATGACAATTCTCGTTTACGAATCACGCGGCAAAATCCATACTCCGCACCGACGGCACCGAGCATCCATCTTGACAATCTTGACTTGCTGCGTGCACTGCTGCGGTCCTGCTCCCTTTCGAAACCGTATTCTGCACATTATCCATTCCCCTGCACTTTGGTCCAGTGGCGTAGCATCTACGTTTTTTACTTCGATAAACTTTCTTCGCAAGCGCCGCTGGAATCGATGGGTACCGTTTACAACAGCAGGCGCACGCCGCTCTCGCGCTAACGATTCGAATTCTCTACAGAAGACTGAATTTAAAGAATTAAAAGTTCACGTACTATTTTCTATTCATTATGTTATTTCGATATAAACTTGTAAGCTTTCGCAAACGATGGTCCATTTATATATTATGTATATCATACTTCATGATGTACTGAATTTTCATTAGTAAAAGAAATTAATTAAGAAGGTGAATTCGCGAACTTTTGTGATTATGTCTTTCGAATTAATTCCACGACGTTCTCCCTACATGCCTTTTAACCTACGAAATGCATATATAAAGATCTATAAATTCTATTCAACAGTTCGAAGCAATAACTGTAATAATAATTAATTTCTCATAAATTACATTCGAAACTTGGATAAAAATTATAGTAATTGAAAGTGTAAACTTTGAAATACATGTGTTTAGAATGTAAATTGATCTAATCAATCTGCACAAGTTAAAATCAAATTACACTTAATGTAATTTGGTTTTTTTTCTACTAACAGGTAAAACATCGGAAATGTAGAAGAAGAATAGACACATACAAGGAGAACTTTTAAACAACAACTAGATTATAGATACAAGTTTTTTCAATCAAAGATGAGTAGAGAGAACGCCGATTTAATGTTTAAAAAGTTAGCCGAAAAGTGCGAACAAACAGTAAGGACCTCTAGTGACCAACGCTCGAACTATACGTACATTTCCTCGATAGTGCTTTTGGTGGGAGAAACGTGTGTATGTACGCTAAGAGCAGAAATGTCTCGTACCGACGATCTGAAAGATAAGGGCGGAAAAACATAAAAATTGCTTATAAGTTTAATGAAATATCGGAAATAAATTGCGTTTCTTTGCAATGATTACAGAAACAACAATAATAATATCAAGAGCAGTCAGCAATAACTAACAGCCACCACTAGCAACCAGCAGCAATCAGTTTGTTAGAAATAATTATACGATGTAATAAAAACTAAGATTATTTATTGCAGGATAATTATATAAAATGTGTTTAGAAAGAGTTTCAATAAACCAAAGTAGTTTAACAGCATTTCACGATCCTTTTATTTATCCGTTTCTCTAACCATTTCCACAAAAAAATTAAACGAGAGATTCAAATAGAAATAGCATAAAAAGATCGCAAAACAGCTTTCGAAAGTTCTGAGAAATGACATCAAATTCCAAGAATTATTGAAATCGTGTCATCTTCTATGTTATAAGTTTACACTAATTATGCAATTTTACAATGAGTTCATAATTTTCTGTATATAATTTGTGTAATTGCATAATTTTCAAATGATTTAATTCCGTTTCTTGACTGATGAAGGTGAAACTATTCTTCACATACGAAAATGATGGTCAAAAACTTATAGATGCTCATGATACGACTCACCGTTTTACCGCTCATTTTCGAATCGCCATACCGAAGAAAGAAATATGCGAATAGTTCGGTTATTTGACCGTCAGGAGCGGTAATTCGTAAAATATGTTTTTGGTTGAATTTCCCTCATGGTCATGAGAGTTCTCTCTACTTATCTCTGATTCGATTATCACGTTAAGACACGACACGACGCACTAATCGTGGTGATACTATCGTGTTACAACGTGTCTACGTGAAAGCTAACCTATATCAATATTTTAACGTTTTTGCTATGGGTACTCCAATATTAACAAAACAACAACAGAAACACTCATTGTCAGCGAAGAAAGGATCAGTTAAAGGATTACGAAATGTCTTAGCGCAACCACAAGATAATTATTGGTAAGTGTAAAGTCTACAATTCATATATAATTCTAATTAATAATTTCATTTTAAAGATACCATACTAAAAATGTTTATATTTGCATTATATACATATTTTTAGGCCAATTGTTGATGAAGGAAAGTGTCCATTGTTGGAAGATGTTTTAAACAAGTAGGTTTTAAAAAATTGTAAAACATAGAAAATATTGGTATAAATTAATGCTTTTATAATTCATATTTATAGATTAATGCCATCTATAAAACGTCCATCTAAATTAGTTCCATGGTCACAACTTAGACATATGAAGAAAGAAGAACGTATAAAAGCCAAAAAAGAAGCGCTTCTAAAACAAGAGAATATTCCTAATTCAGAATTAATGTAAATATTCTTAGCTATATTGTTACATACTTCTCTGATTCACAACTTTTAAAACTTACATTTTTAGAAATTCTGTGGTCTTGGGCATAAATAATATCACAAGATCTTTGGAAAAAAACAATGTCTGTTGTATTCTAATGGATGCGAACATTTCACCGCCGCTTTTAATAAAGCATGTTATTTATATGGCACAAAATAAGAAAATACCAGTATTATTATTGCCTAAATTGAAAACTGTAACATTAAACACCGTAGGATTTGCATCTGCTGCGTGTGCCTTGAAGGTATAATTATTTAAATACATAAATGTCATTTTATTGTCTGTTTATTGTTATTGTTGTCTGTTTATTGTTTAATGTCTCTTTATTGTTATTTTATGTCTGATATTTTATTTTTATTATTTTGATTTCAGAATGTCGTGATGGATAATACAGATCATCATTTTCATCCTTTGTATACAACAATATGTGATATTTTTAAGGATGTACCTTTACCAAAAAATAGGCTCCAATTATTCAAAGATATTGAAACATTAGAACAGATTACATCAGATAAAGAAAACAAAATGAGCGTTGAGAGTGAATCTCGAGTCTCCTCGGAGCCAATTAAACATACAGTATCTACAAATGTATATATGTATAGATCTTCACACAAAGAAAGGGCATTTGTTCCACCTAGCACAACAGAAAGTTCCACAAATGAGCCCATTGTGAAAAAAGAAGAACAAGATAATTTTATTTCTTTAGCTAATTATGATTCTGATGAATTCAATACAAGTATAAAGAAACATACGAGATATATTAATATTCATGAAGATCAGCATCCGACAAAACGAAAAAAGTTTCCAAGAGTTAATAATGCATCTGCAAATGTTAAATATTTACCTTTAAAAGTCAAACGCTTACAGGGTAACGTTAATCGTGCAAAAGCGGCGAAAGTTTCCAAATATAAAAAATAATGTCGCATCATAGTAGGACATATAATGTCGTATCATATACTTCATGAATGTCACCAGAGGATTTCTTATCTTACATGTTAATAAATATCGAATATACAAATACACTTTTTATTTTATTAAATAAATAGTCCTTACATCATATATATACATATATAAATACATATATATATATGTATACATAAATATATAGAAATAACAAAACTCTGTTTTTTATACATATAAATACATTATATACAAAAACTATATTCTCATATAACTAATTTATATATATATATAGCAACTTTTATTTGTTAGTTCTTATAACATAAGTGTTTTTACTGATTCATTCCTTTAAATACAAATAAACATATTATTATACATAGTATATAAGGTCTGATTATTTGTTAAGATAAGTCAGTCTTTCGTATATGTTGTGTCCACATAAAAACATGCAGTATAGCATGTCGTTGATTTGCATATAAATATCGTATATATGGAGTTTTATAAAATATTAAAATTGAAGATACAATATTGATTTCACATGTATATATTTAATGCCTAAGTAATTGTAGTATCATACAGGCAATGTAGAATTTACCGAAGATTTGAACATTCTCGTAAAAAACATTAGGCCTTTAGTTCCTCCTGGTATATGACTTATCAGGAATGATAACATAGCTATTAATTGCAAAACAGCACAGAGTACCGTTAGTGGAGTAGATTGTAAATGCAGAGCGCAATAAAGCGTTCCTACTAAAGTTACAAAGTAGGATATACTGAAACACCTTCTTTCAGCGCTGAATAATGACTTTAGGTAACTTAATGGACCAAAAAGGAAGCAAAAGCTATAAAAATTAATTTAATATAAATCTTATTTTATTCCCGACAGTGGCGTCCGTATTTATCAACTTACCTTGAGAGAAAGAAAGCACTTCCTAATGTATACAGAAGTGCAAATTTTCTTGCTTTAAGGAGCAAAACTGGGATATAAATCGCCGACAAACAGAAACAAAGTAAACCCATAGAAAAGCATGCAACAAATGCTACTAGCCTTTGTACTCTTGTCTGTTGAGGAAAGATGGAATTTGTTAACTTTTTTATGTAGACTTTTTAAGAATATTTAGAGGGTTAGGTTATACTAAAACGTATATACAAACCATGCTAGGACAACATTCCTTTTGTGTTCCTTGGATCCATCCCGCTTCTTGTTTATCATCTTCGCTTCGACCGAACCATTTTCCAATATTCGCTTTCGGTATCGTCACCGAAGGTACGGTAATTTTGAATTGTTTTTCATTTTTACTGCTAAGAAGATATTCGTTTAGTTCTTTGTTGAGATCGGCCATTTTGACACGTCGCCATACTTTATATTTATACGTTTATATACACAAAGTACAATAGGCAATAATTCCATTTTGAAAGATATCTTTACTTCATAGTATCCTTCAAATACTAATCTGGGAACATGACATATTCGTTATCTTCATCGTACTCTGGCAAGCAAGAAGTGCACTGTGTAAACCACATATGTTATGTGTACATATTACAAGTGTGAAGTTCAAATGTACCGCACATGCACTTTATATATATGCCGATAAAATAGATTTCATCTTATCTAATTACATTTTAATCAGCAAGAGAATCGTAGGGAGAATGATAGCAAAAATGATTACATCCGTGATGAGTTTTCAAACTTACATTTATTTAAACAAATCAACATTGACCTCATATTTACGGGTTGTATACTGCATTTGTTGCACAGGTAATGCATCACTCTATTACGCAAGAACTATGTGTCCTGCAACGCGTGGTATCATTTTGGGATTATTTGACAAAAAATCAAATACATCGGGGACGGGGGAGACTAAGTATCGACAGTACTCTAATTGGGACTAGAGAAATTTGACTAGAAAAAAAAAATGAGCGGTCGATCTTGCTCGCTTAATAGTAGTAGTAATAATAATGATAATAAATAGCAATAGTAATAAATAATATTCAATAATAATGATCGCAGTCATAGAGCTAATAATATTCGAAATGATGATAATACTTCTCGGAGACATAATAAACATGATGATGATGATGATGATGATGATAATAATAATAATAATAATAATAATAATAATAATAATAATAATAATAATAATAATAATAATAAATACATCAGCAATAATAAAAAGCACAACGTAACAATAATCGGGGACATAAGTAACAAATCGATCACATTCGAATACAGTACACACTACGAACCGTAATTCTTTTTTAACAGGTTCATCATTTTGCATTTTTTTTTTGTCATTTAATGATTTTATCGCTATATACGTACTGATCACGGTCACTCGATCTCTCGATTATACGATACATAGAATGAGACTGCTAATTATTCAACACGAAGGCTCCTAAAATCATTCTCATACCGCGAAACGAATCTTTTTTGTCGGGATTAAAGTACTTATTAATTACATCGCTGGGTATGTAATGTACGTGTTGTATACGTGAAGACCTATATTTTGTATGAAACATACGTATAATATCTATATATATATATATATATATATATATATATATATATATATATATATATATATATATATATATATATATATATATATATATATATATATATATATATATATATATATATATATATATATATATATATATATATATATATATATATATATATATATATATATATATATATATATATATATATATATATATATATATATATATATATATATATATATATATATATATATATATATATATATATATATATATATATATATATATATATATATATATATATATATATATATATATATATATATATATATATATATATATATATATATATATATATATATATATATATATATATATATATATATATATATATATATATATATATATATATATATATATATATATATATATATATATATATATATATATATATATATATATATATATATATATATATATATATATATATATATATATATATATTTATATACACAGATAAACTTATGTTGCATACTCAACATACCGATCTTCATATGTCATCATATGTATATGTTTTCTCACCTTCATGCGTGATCCACTGTGTGGAACGTGTGAATATGTGTACGTGTCTGGGTGTATCGTATTTATATGTATGTAATACCCGCGTGTTTTTCATTAACTATAATATTTTGGCTTTGTCTGTCCTTTTAATTTGTTTTTTTCTTTCTCCTTTTTAACGCTAATGGCAGCACAGATACAATATTATTCTTCTTTTTTTTTCTTTGTTTTACATCGTATAGCATCTTAACGTGCCCGAGTCTTTTCTTCTTATAGAAATAACGTGTTATGAATCACTTTGTAACGGGCGTTTAGCGGCTCCCCTGCGCACGGAAACCGCTAAAATTGCCGCCATCCGAATAATAATTACGCAATTAATACATTACGCTATGTATACATTTATACAGTACGCAATGAATACGTCGGAATTAATTACTGTATGCACTACGAAGGAAAGAACCTATATATGTATATGTATACGTGTGTACTTCGAGAAGAAACGAATCGCTATGCAGCGCGTTATTATAGTACGTTTAATATAAGTGGCGTGGCTCCTTCCTGTTTCCCTTCTTTTGTCCCTTTTCTACTTTCTCCTTCCTCTCTTCCCTTTTTCCCTTCTTTTCTTTCGAACTTATCCTATTCGGCGAACTGATCGCGTCGCATCGTTTCCTTCGCCTTTTTTCATCTCGCGAAAACAATCGTCTAGAATGACGATCCACGTGGAATTTCAAACGCAAAAAGGAACACCTTCGTGTATACGATGCTCTGGTATCCGATGAAAAACGCATCGTGACCCTTCTCGACGTCACGTATCTATACGTTTCGTTCTAAAGGCGACCACGCGAATCAGATTCGCGTGTGATCTCGAGAAAGCTCGATCGGGAAAGGATCCTGCTCGCTATATAAATACTATATCATATTCGTGTGCAGCTACGAACGATCGTCGAGTTTTAAACAATAAATGCAACAACAGCCTTTGTCTCGTAAAAGTACATATTCGTAATTTATCAGCTATCGTTAATCGGCTACAACATCGGCGTCCTTAAATATACGTAGCGAGAGAATAAGAAAGTAATCGAAACAAGAGACAGGGCTCGTACGTCTAAAATGATCATAGTCTTCTTGGAATAGCTCACATAAGTACACATATGCGTTTGTATGTACATGACTGTATTCGTGTATGTATACGTGTATATGTTTATGCGTGTATGCGTAAATATCTGTGTGTATGTGTTGAGTCATTAAAAACCCTTGGAGCCTTCGAGGGGGAATGTAAAGTGAAGCGTTCAAAAAAGAGCGCGTCTCTATCCGCTAACGATTTACGCTAGAATAATTCTTAACTTCTGAACGAAGAAAATGGTGTGTCACGGTTTCTCGAGATCAAACGAATCCTTCGTGAGTCGACGAAAGAAAGACAGATTGCTAGCCACGGATAACTGCCAACTAATTAAATATATTATCGATCAAATGCAACTAATGGCGTATAATTATCTGCAGACTGCCCCCCACCCCCTTAAACGGTACTTACAAATACCTAAGTGAGAATTTCTCGTACGCTATGCAACGGTAAAATCAGGCGCGCAGTACTTTAGACATTGTTTAATCTCTCATTTTCTCTTTTTTTTTTTTAATTTTCTTATACTGTTGTATCTGTCGTAGATTTTTTGTATTTTTCTATTTTTTTTCAATTTGTTTAGTTTGTTCGATCTCGTCTTAAAACACCCGCAGTTCCATAGAAAAAGTTTACGAGCACGAGATCGCGCGTAACACGTGGAAGAAAAAAGGGAATTATATTCGTCTAACTCTTTAGCTTTTTTTACTTTTCTTTTAAATCTTTTTTCTCTTCTTTTATTTTTGTTCCGTTCTTTTATTCCTCGCGCGATTCTTGCGCAAGCAAAGTCGTTGACATTTAATCCTTTTCCGTTAAATATTTTTTTTGTTTTTTTAAATTTATCATACTTTCGCTCTCTCACTTTCTCTCGATCACTTTCTCTCCTTTTCTCTTACTTCACACTTTTTTTTTCATTCTTTAGAAAATAATTTTTATCTCTGTGAGTTTTCTTTGTGTTTCAGTACGCTTTTCTTTTTGTAATTTTTTTTTTTTTTTTTTGTAGCGATAGCGTCAAGTGCCACACGAGTAAAGCCCGATACGAACGAGCGACGTTTCTTCCCGCGATATCACTGCGACCCTGCGTCTGCTTGGTTATTGTTAATTGGGAAAACAAAGCAAGACGTATGATTATAGCGATATCGCGCTGATAAAAGACGCTCGTCTGCATCGAGACTCAGAAACCGATCCGGAAGTTCCGATTTCTATTCGTGCGATTAGTTAGAATTAAAGTGTCCGTCGCGAAACTCTAATCTTTCTCTTCTTTTCTCTTATTTAGCTTACTTCACACCCCCGCGACGTAAAACCACCTCCACGTTGCTTGCAACAGGTTCATACAACGAGACGACATCGAGAAACCGCGAGGAAAATGAATGATCGAACAAAAAATTCGAGTCCGAAGTCTTTGGGAGGAAGTCCCGAGTTACTACAAAAATTCTTTTTTTCTTTAACAGAATAGCCCGATACGAACGAGCGACGTTTCTTCCCGCGATATCACTGCGACCCTGCGTCTGCTTGGTTATTGTTAATTGGGAAAACAAAGCAAGACGTATGATTATAGCGATATCGCGCTGATAAAAGACGCTCGTCTGCATCGAGACTCAGAAACCGATCCGGAAGTTCCGATTTCTATTCGTGCGATTAGTTAGAATTAAAGTGTCCGTCGCGAAACTCTAATCTTTCTCTTCTTTTCTCTTATTTAGCTTACTTCACACCCCCGCGACGTAAAACCACCTCCACGTTGCTTGCAACAGGTTCATACAACGAGACGACATCGAGAAACCGCGAGGAAAATGAATGATCGAACAAAAAATTCGAGTCCGAAGTCTTTGGGAGGAAGTCCCGAGTTACTACAAAAATTCTTTTTTTCTTTAACAGAATACGTCTTCTCTCTTTACCTCTTTTTCTTTTTGTTCTCTTCTTTTGGCATACACGATATAATACGATCACGCGCATTATGCAACTGTGCTGTTGGATACTCTGGTACTCGTAATTTAGAATTATAGTTATTATACATTATTAAAAATATGTACAAAATCTGTGTGTACGCGTGGTGTATGTGTTCATGTATGTCAGATGCATGAAAATGTTCAGCTCTGTTCATAGCAGCTAACATAGGTGTTACTTTGAAGAATTGATCAACAAAGTAACACACGTGTTAAACGCTTCAAGTCGATAAAATGCTCGTCTCTGTGTTCTTGTATTTATGTTCGTGTAAATATACGTGACACGTTGTTCGAAGCACTGATTAATCGGTATAGCACAGACCGATGAATGATCGGGGACACATTGAAATCGAAATACAAAATGGACTTTCGATCGAGGCTTCCTCCGTATCGTCAGAAAAACGTCTGAATCT